TTACGTCTAAATATTCCAAATAATTATTCTTTAAATAACTTTTCTATTCTCCACTTCGAAGTACCGTCACATGCGTAACAGACGCCGCTTGGATTGTTCGGCCGTACCGACGAGCCGAACAGTAACATCGGTATTTCCAATAGACAGCACACCTTCTAAAAAGCGAGATCTTAGCCAGCATGAGCAAATTACTTTATTACACCAAAAATTCGACGACTCTCACACCTGGACACCACATGCCCTAAGACAATAAAACAGACCTTCGACATCACCAATTTCAGACAAGCAATATAACAAATGTAAGAACAAATTCCCCACTTTCACACCACCAGCAGACACACCCCAAACACACCGAAAAAACCAATCACCACACACTTCCACCACCTACGACCTATACACTTGTAGGACGGTTGATGAACACTCTGTTAAAACCGTGGATTCTAGGTGAAAAGTTGGTCGGACGATGGTGAAAACACGCAGACACCGGCGTGAATCATCGACGGGCCTTTCCGATTCGATTACTCCTGCCCTGTCGACTCTAATTTCGATCGACGGGGCAGCGTATTCAAATAATATCGCGCCAGCACCTTCTAAAAAGCGAGGTCTTAGCCGGCATGGGCAAATTACTTTATTACACCAAAAATTCGACGACTCTCACACCTGGACACCACATGCCCTAAGCAATAAAACAGACCTTCGACATCAGCAATTTTCAGACAAGCAATATAACAAATGTACCACCTACGACAGTTTTCACACCACCAATCACAACACACACGTAGTTTATAAAATAGCGAACACCACACGACACGACACACAATTTTCCTATCAGTAAGCCTAGACATTTCGCGCTCTGTTCACGTTCATTCACAAATATATAGTTTTAACAGCAAACTGTTGTGCGTTAATAGTCAATCTTCCGAGCACCACCTGAATCCCCTATCCCGAGTAGATTCCTTAAATGGTCTGACTCAGAAAGAGGGACAATTATCGGTTTCGCAACAAACATATCGCGATTCGCAACAGTACTAATACAAAGTGTCACATGTGAAACACTGAAATATTAATGAACTTATCAAGTTCAACTTAATAATAATTGAAAGAATTTAACGCAGTTCGCGTGACTTACACTAACGCGTAAGTTCATCTAAGAAAATGTGCAAAAATGAAACATTTGACCCTTCTCGAGGATAAACGTAGTCAGTCATCCAGCTGTTAATCTTTCCACTCTCTGTGCTACGTGCAGCCCAAAATTAACCGCAATTATCAACGTCCACGAGACATCTGATGTTAAACTATCCTATATACAAGCGATACGGTGGACACACAGGCATCTGCCAGTCTGGAATGTAGCATGCAGCCAATAGATTGTCCACAAGAACCGCCTAGTAATTAACGTGCGATTATCGTCGCTTAAGGATATCTTGTTAGGGAATTAATTAACCGTTGCGAAAGTATAATTGCAGAAGATTGCTCCGGCGTGAGAGAATTCTTGGTACAGGAGTAAAACGCATTTTGTAAGATTATATTTTATTTAGTAAACGATACATGAGAGGTATTAACAAAATTACTATTTTCACAATAATAATACATTCTTCGTTTTCAAATATGAAATACATATTTTGGCAATATTCACAAAGACAAACGTGACAGAAAAACTATCGTACGATTTACGTGCGTTCGAATATGATGCTGTTTCACCTGTTTCGCGCTGTTCAAGCTTATTGTAACATAAATTCTGAACGCAGCTGTTAGGGTAGAACGATTCGACCGATATCAAAGTCACTGATAATGTATTCGGTACATAGAACGTGGCCAGAATAACGTCGTTTGATTTACAATTACCCGTCCACCCTCGTGTTTCCTATCATTTACGAAAGGAGATAATAGTTCGGCTAGGATACACAGAAAGTTCGAGGGAGATATCGGGAACATACACACTTTCACTCGACGTACTGTCAGGTCCCGTAATGAAATTCAAAGCGAATGTCAACAATTTCAACGATCGAAATCTCACTTTTTTTTTCGTTATACGACGAAGCTTGGAACAGTTCCCTCGATACAATTTTCTGTGAATTTTCACTGTGAGAAATCGATATTTTTGTATGAAAAAGTAAACACCGAACGAAGTTACGTGAAAAGCTGTTCTTCCATTGCGACAACAGCGATCTATAGATCTTCAATGTTCTTATTTCCTCGGTTTTTGGAAGTTGCTGGAAGCGTCAGTGTTACACGATCTCCAGTATTGAATATTCATAATTCATCTAGGTATTGTTCTCTAGATTATGCGTGGATCGATGCCTTTATCTTGGTAAGCTGCTTTGCGAATCATTGGATTCGTTGACCTGCAACCGATCGAAATTCCTTGGAAACACGACGGTGACTAAATTGACATAATCGTTCATCTTTCGTCGCTTGGAAATTGTTCAAGTTGAAAGTATCGTAAACGAATTTTCTTATGTCTATGTACGAAGTGAAACTGTATATATGTACATGTGTCGTTCCGTTTGATTTGCACGAGAATTTTCAAGAATTTCCACGAAGATCGACTGCGTGAAAATAATTCGCAGGTAAACTGTTATCCGAAAGCACTCAGACAGTTACCCCATAGGCATTGCAGATTGTTTGCTTACGTGGACAGGGTGGCTGCTATCAGTGCGTGTCAGTGGAGGGAATTTCATTGGTCCGGATCGAAATTCGGCAAAGCCCCTATTTCGGTACATTGAGATAGGTCTAAACGCATTACGATTCGCAAATCATCAGTTCCAGTATCTCGATCCTTGTTAACAATTACTGTGCGCTGTGACGAGCTTCTTATCCGAATTTGTTGTGCAATTAATCTTGTTTCCTTGTTAATATGTTCTGTAATACTTTTCTCTCGTTATGGCACAAGTTACCATCGGTACACAATTAATTACAAAACCATCGTTAACAGTTCTGATCGATGGAAAAATGTGATACTTGAGAATATGTTGAACTTACCATTGCACAGTCAGTTTGTAAAAATTGAAATTATTGAACAGTATTGTTCACTGTGTGATACGATTGGGTAAAGAAAATCGACGAGTACAGTTAATAAACAGGGTATCTTTTATTTTCTTTATTGTTATATTCTGAAATTATAAATATACAATTAAATGTGAATTTTTATTGGAAGGTTTTATTGTCCATCTATTCAGCGATGTCACGTTTGATTAATGGTTGCGTCCTGTGTTTACTGATTGGTATATAGCTCGCATATAAGAGAAATATTGCGAATGCAGTCACATCATGTTTTTTTCTGATTGATTATTGGACGCGAAGTGAAGTTGGACGTTTGAAATGTAATTGGAACAGTTTTATTTCGCATTTCCTATTATGTGAAGAAATGAAGTTTTTAATCTACGAATAATTCTATTCGCGTGTAACTGTATCGAAAGTTTCGTTCGGTTGTTTGAATAGTGGTAGAATAATATTTGGAATGATTTGAAATTATGTAGCATTGGTATGATTAGTTTGAAAAATATTCCAAATTGACTACATGCTGTCGTTGCAAAAGCGTTTCTAAAAGGCAAACTAAAGGAATCAGGTTATTTATCCTACGATGCATAATTGCGACATTTATTAATTTTGTCTGAAAAGCGCTAATCCTGATCACGACCTTCTCTCGTAAGAGACACAGTTCTCGATACATTTAAGTTTGCCTATCCTATTACACAAATTATAAAAGTATGTTCAGGTCTAATGTTTATTTCACGACCGACACTTCAACTTTTGTAAATAACATTTTCTCTGTTATTGCTTGAAATAGCAGATATACTAGAGGTGAGCAGTACTGTTCATCTATTCGGCGATGTCACACGTATATTATCAGCGCAATTCAGCTACTCTACTTTCACCCTAAATCTTTCACTTTTCATATCAAATCACCACCGACGGTATATACCAGGGCTCTTACTATTGCTCTGATATTCGAGTACTCTGATACCCAGAACATTTATATTCGAATATCCAGATATCTGGATACTTGATTTAAATTCTGATATTCGAACGCTTTCTCGATTGGCAATTGAGTATCTCTAAGGTTCAAAGACACTCGTGTGTGATTAATACGAAAGACAAACGATAAATGATCCGAAACTCTAATTTTTGGGTCCAAATTAGGGCCAAAGACACTCGTGCCTGTGAGTGATGCAAAAAACAAACGATAAAAGGTCCTGTAGCGTCTCAAAACGCCGTAGCTCTTCGATGCTTGGAAACGCCGAGTCGCGGCAGGGCGAGTCTTATTTGTTTGTGTTATCTGTTTCTAGGCGTGTTCTCGATAGAATACCTGTCGAGGGTGAAACCTCCGTGCTTTATAACACGGAGCCGTCCACACCCGACGTGGGGGTGGCAAGTGTGATGCGATACGGAAGACGTCGAGCGATCATCGCCTTTGGCGGCCCATGCGACGCAGGACCCAACGCGAGTCCCCTCGAGCGACGAAACACTCGAGCCCTCTCGCCTCGGCAACCGCGGTCCCGCTTCGGTCCCTCGCGCGATCCCTTTGCCGGAGGCCTTATCGCGACATTGTAATACGGTTCCGCTGATGCTGGCCCCGCGCCGCGGTGCTCGGGACCGAACAGGTCCGAAACTCTAATGCTCGGATCCAAATTAGGGCCAAAGACACTTGTGTGTGATTAATGCCAAAAACAAACGATGAAAGGTCCGAAACTCTAATACTCGGGTCCAAATTAGGGCCAAAGACACTCGTGCCTGTGAGTGATGCAAAAGACAAACGATAAAAGGTCCGAAACTCTAATACTCAAATGCAAAGTAATTCGAGTACTCGGATATCCGTCCGAGATTCCCTCTTCTTAAATATAGAGCTCTAATAGACCCCAATACACCCCATATCTCCAAATTCCCTCTTCTTAAATACAACATTTGATTTCTAAGAATATCCGGATAGTAAGAGTACACGCCATATCTCTTCTCAATCATAAAATTTAATTTTCTAAGGTCTACATTGAAATACTTACCTCTAACCAACGTTAGTATCCCAAGTGGCATGACCAGAACGGCGACCATTAAGTCCGTGATCGCCAGGCTCATGAGGAAGTAATTGGTAACGTTCTGAAGTTGTTTTTCCCTAGTTATCGCCAGGCACACTAAGATGTTTCCCGCTGCGGTACCCAACACGAGAACTAGAGCGAGCATAGCCCACCAATTGTTAAGTCCATCGTCGTCAATGCTCAACACCGTGTCGTTCACTGGCTCGGTCACATAAATTGTATCGTTGTTGAGGATCCCGGACACGGCAAACTGCTGTCTATCGCAAAACGCGGCGCTGTCGTTGGATAACACCAGAAAGTTCTTGTAACAGGTGTCGATCACGGTCTTATAAGGATCCCCGTGATTGACTGTCGGCATCGACGGCTCGATCATTGCTCAACAGAGACAGCCGATCACGAAATAGCTTCTTTCCAATCGCTGCTTAGCTCGATCGACTCGTATTTAAATCACCTTTGCACCTTGATTTTCAGGTTCGTTTTGGTTAAATCGTGGATTTCATATTTGACGTATTTCCTCCTAAATAATTCCTTCTACTGTTTTTTTTTTTATTCGAGTATTCTACGGGCGTTGATTATTTTTATTGTTTCGAATTTGTTTGATCTTCACTTTGGTTTATCGCTAGATGCAGGCGGAGGGAAAGGAGCGCTTTTTGACGGAATTGACCTAATGAAAGTACAGTTTTTTAACTCGTACATAAAAGGCGATCAAAAGGCGTACTTCCTGCGACAGCTGTACGAATAAAAGCTCCGAAACTGCGCATTCGCTGGTCTCTGTCAGACACTTTCTCCTGAACGACAATAGTAACACGGATTTTTCGATTTTCGTGCACAGAGGATTTCGTAAAAAAAAAAACCAAGTTATCTCGTAGTTTCAGCTACTTTTATACGTGCAAAGCATTCGTCATTTTGTTATAGTAGTACTTTTGCCGCAGCCAATAGATCCTCGATGCACTTGCTGAAACTGCAAACCGAAAACTCGAGCTAAGAAACGTTCTTTCCAAGAACTTCGATGCTTCTTTCGTACACCAAAGTCACACTTTGCGAAGACTGTTAGCTCTGTCCTTTGTACAATCCTCTTTGTATCGCGTTTTTAAAAAATTGGGACTAAAATTATCGATATTTGCTAAAATTCCGGAATGTAAAATACGTCCGCGACGAATTTTCTGGTCAACGAGGAAACGAAGGAAGCTGAAGCGAAGAGCGAACGTTGTCCGTTCGTTTCTAAGCTGTGAGAACGAGAACCACGGAAGATCGGTGTAATGATTCGGACAAAAACTGGGACGCGGTACTCGAAAAGTGGAGAAAATCCTGGAAACTCGACCATCGAGAGTTTCCGCGACTTACAGTGTCGCGGCTGGCTCTCTGTTAGGTCCTGACTTGCTTAGGCACTTCACACTCGGGGGAAGATGACTTAGGCGTGTTCGGTATTTCTCCGTTCTTCATTGTTCAAGGGACAGAGTGCAGACACTCTTTGTAATCCGTTTAAGAAGCCTGTCTTCAACGTGAAACGACAGTCGGGAGGTACCAAGGCTTGTCGCGTTCAATTTAGTTCTTCAATTCGCCCTATTCGTTAACATATTCCAGTGGAATAATCATCTCTGTGTCCTTTTTCATTCTACGTTATCCAAATCTCGTGTTCCATGTTTAATCGAAGTAAAAGGAAGGCAAAATTCTTTCACGATTCGAAAATAGTAATTAAAATTAATTAAGTATTTATTTAAATATGTCAAATTTGTATCTTTTATGAGTAGATTTTATGCTTGATCCTTGCAATGGTAAATTAATTTCACACTTCTATGCCAAGTAGTGTTTTTAAGAACGTCCGACCTTTTTAAGGTTCGTACTACTTGCTATTCACTTATACGTACAATTTTCTATGAAAAAATTCATTTAGCGAAAGACACTTTTGCTTATCTGTGTTGTATACTATAGCGTATTGTGTACAGAATAGAAAAGTATGAAAAAAGTACAAGAAAATCAAAAATCGCAATGTACAAGCTAATTCTAAAGAGATGTCACAGCCCCCCTTTCGAAATTTAGTTTGTAACCGAGACGTAACGCAGTTTACTTTATTTCACGACGATTTAAGCGACTAATAGTTGTACTTTTCTAGCAAGAATATTTATTTGTTTAAAATATTCGTTCCGTACGGAAAACTTCTTTTGAAAAGGATTGCAAAACAGTAAAACCACAGCCGAACGACGTTACCTAACTTCCTGATTACCAAACAAGCCTTTTCTTCTCTCACATCTAATCTCCTTTTCTCCCAGAATTTCCCAGAAACCAAACACCTCATCCTTCCGTCACCACTTTCACCCTTTCTCCGTCTATTTAAAACACGTCCTACGACCAACATCCCCGAAATTAACTGCCTCCAGCGTCTCGCAATCCTTTCCTCCTCCAAAATTCCGATCGCTCTCACTCCTAACACCGACCGAAAAACAACCGAGTCTTCAATCAGCCCGAGCACTGAATCTAAGCGATGATTCGAGTCTCATTCGCCAACCTTCGAAACGTAGTACTTCCAGCTCTCTTCTACCTCGTTAAAAACACACACAAATTTTCTCGTCGCGATCCAAATTCGCGGCACACGCTAATCGACGCGAAGTGTACGATATTATCGCACAATTATCGTAATCAGAACTGCGACACGTTAATAGACAACGATATGGAATTGACTTACGCCGAAGCAACTTTATGTCGCTACTTTTGAGAAACTTTGACAATGCACGCCATGAAACTATCAGTCGGCAACATCCTTTCAACCGGTCCTTTTCCGCCTCGGAAAAACTGTGGATGCATCTGTAAAAAGGGTTATTCGTCATTGCCACGCACAGATCTGCTGCATCGTACTGCTCTTCCGTTTATGTTTTTTTTTTTTTTCGGAACTCTAGCAAGATCGATGAGTTGGAAAATGCACGTATCGAAATTACGTTGCTTCGTTCTGAAAGGACGATCCGAGTTTTTCTCTGCGAATCTTACGTTCGAACGTTGAATTTTTGTTACTCTTGAAGATATCCGAGGATGGAATTTGAGAACAGAATGAGTGAAGTACTGGTAAATGGTTTAAAGTTAATGTCGATGTTAAAGCATGCTAAAATCGCCGCAACAGTGATTATCAAAAAGATACGTAATAGTATACTGTTTAAAGAAATAGGGACCAGCTTGTTCGGTATTTTCAATTGAAAATCCTGCTAATTAAATCTGGTAATTTTCTCTTACGGTACGTTTTAATAGGCGAAATTGCACCAATCAGAGGCTCCCGTCAGAAAATATGTCTGACCATAGTTAAACCATTTTCCCTTATAGCCTATTCATTTCCTCGCTTCGCCTATTATACTCGCGACACGAATTTCGCATCTTGTTTCAGTTCTTCGCTGATACGTCCTTTTAAACGTTATCTCGAGTTAAAATTAGCGAAATTATTTTGTGTATTTAACGACTCGAAGCTGAATCTTTATTTACGGAGAAGTTACGTTTCTCAAAGAGTGGAGTATTCTCTTTGATAAGAAGTGGTAAGATGCATGCTGATGTGGTACGTACGTACATATATTTGTTAAAATATACCTCGTGTTTTTTCAACATATGCAAATTTTATCCAGTATTTTATTCTCACTTCACCCTTGCCATCCTTCTCTCGTATTCGACCTAACTGTTTTACAATCGAAATAGCTCAGGTTTCAACGAAGAACACTTTTGGTTGCTGCGAGGAAAAGAATTGAAGTTTTAATTTTCGTTCAAATTCGTTCATTTTCGTAGAGAAAATGTGAAATGAATTTTTAATTTTATAACACGACAGCAGTTAGAAAGGTACTTTTAAATACTCGTATCTAACGAAATCGTTATCACATTAAATAATTAATATTCGATAATTTATTGTTCAGCTTTGTTTTTGTAACAGAAGTGTTCGACGATAATTTAACGTTCGAAGTAGTAGCAGCAATTTGAACGATTTTTCAATGCCCCACCAAAAAGCAAATTTCAAATTTCTCAAATTATCGAAAAATTGGATGCATAATTTCAATTATAATTCTATGATAAGTTCGAAGTTTCCTGCGTCTACATTTTCGTCCAAATCTTTTTAAACAATTAAAAATATCATTAACTGTAAAATAAAAGAATCTTCCAAAACTCAGGATCATTTCGAATGAAATATTCCTAGATTATTTTACTTTCCATTTCACTTTCTTTTGATATATTTCACGATGAAAAAATCAATGTGTTCACTGCCAGATGTGGTTTAAATTGACGTCACGTGCTTCTTACTTCCCTGATTAAAAACTGAGAATCTATAAATGCAAACTGAAACTTAAGCAATGTACCTCGCGATATTACTTTTTCGATAAAAGAACTAATTCGACTAGCAACGTCCGGAATAAGTGTGCCTGTACAAAAGTTACAATCTTATCGTAAATATTGTAAAAATTCTGTTCGAACCAACAGTTACACCTGATATCTCCGAAAAACGTAACAGCCATAATTTAACAAGAATGCTGCTAATCCAAACTCCATCGATATTTACGTACGTTTAAAAAACGAGAGAAATGAGCAACTTAAATACACTACCGGCGAAAAGTTTGGAATCACCTCCCAATTTTCACCAGTACTGAATCTCCTACTAATTTTTCATGGACTTGATATTGTGGAGATAAATAGCAATTTATCTCATATCGGCTGATTCGAACGATAGAAAATTCGTTAAAAAGTTGTTGAAGCTACTAGACTTTTTTCTGGGAATTTTCGTGTAACTTGCAGTGCACAGTGATTCGAAACTTTCGGCTGGTAGTGTGTGTACATCAGACGTTCAACAATTAAATAGAAATATTCGAATTGACGATAGAAAAAGAATTTGAAAAGGAACATTTATTTTCGTCAATTAAGAAATTAATAATCTAATTGTAGTCCGCGTAAAAGAATGGGTCGTCCCCAGCGGGAAGGGCGAGCCGCGGCTTCTTCCTGGCACCGTTTCGCTTCCCACCCTCAATGGTAATTATCCCGCAGCGAAAAAGTGAAATAGAGTGTCAGCCTGATTCCACGGGAGAGTAAAATTCGATTGCACGCCTTTACTATCGAAACTTTCGAAGCTGGCCTCTCCTTCCCTCCACCGGCAGAAATCAATTTACCATCGACGTGTACGCGCGTTATTCACCTTCGCCGAACTTAAACTCGATTAAAATGTGCAACCACCCCGCTGCTAAATTCCTCCGCTGTTCTCCACCAGTTTTTACAACACCCCGACAATTTCTTCGGTGCGGCAGCTTTTCGATTTTTTCCCATTCAACCCAAACTTCAATTCACCACAAAAACAAACAACTTCACACGCAACACCCCCGCGATCATGCCAATTGAATCCCAAGAGAGAGAGAGAGAGAG